ATATATATATATATATATATATATATATATATATATATATATATATATATATATATATAAAATTATACAAACAACATTTTCACTGCCAAATTGATAGAAAGGATAAAATGATAGGCAACTTTCTTATCATTTCATTATTAAATTAAATACATAAGTTCATTCAAGATATAAATTTTTCATATTGCCATGGAAAGCAGCTAATAAATAGACGCATTGAGTTAAAATAGAATGTAGCTGTAATGTTGGAAGAGCTAACGCTGTTGCAGCTTATTCAAATTAACACCTTGATTTCTAGAAAGCTTATATCTTTCATAACGCACGTCGTTTGGATGATATGGTCCCATACGGAACTCTCCATTCCACTTAAATAGAGTGCGTGTATACCTGAAATTAGCTTTTATTTCCTATTTTGTCTTCCAGAAGCCTTACTTTCAAAGATATCATGCCAATAAGGCATTGCACTTTTCAACTTTGCTCTTAGTGTTAAGCTTGGAGCAGCATCTCTTTGAGCTGACCCATCGGATAGAAGAATTTTACATCATCTTGTTTCGCCAATACTTTAATTCGTTCCATAACACAACATCCCGACCATTTCCTTTTTCATTCAATTAAAATTTTCATTTTGAAACTTTGACTGGAAATGGCCCTAGAGAAATAAAATAACTCCATTGGCTACAGATTGAATTCAAAAATCAACGTCTGGAAAGGAACGTGAATGTTTAAATCGATATCACTTATTCTAAATTAGGGACTTACCAATCGGGCCATTCATGCGGTGCGTATCGTCCAACCGTACCGGTCATAATCTTTGTCCTTAGATGGGGTCTAGCGTATTTCTTCAGTGATTCATCATAAACGTATGTTTGTCGTTTTGGGCGGAACACTGTATTGGGTACTGCACCGACTAAGTACATGATACCTGAAATATTATACAAAATGTGTGACAGACAAGGACAACGTGCTTTCTTCATTAATAATTGTGTAAAACAAGTTTCAAATTGGTTGAAATTGCAAATCGATGAAATTACTACTGGAAGATGAGCAGGACCAGTTTTCTGCAGCAGTAGAATAAATTAGGATTGCAATAATCTCTTATTGACGTGGGTACGTGTGTTGTATGGATGCGTGTATGTATGAGTATACATGGATGTATGTATGTATGTATGCATGCATGTATACATGTGTGTGTGTGTGTATGTGTGTGTGGATATGCTTGTGTGTGTATGTGTGTGTGTGTGTATGTATGTGTTTGAGTGCATGCGGAAGGATCGTAGTGATGTGGTGAAACAATGCTGAATTGATGAATGTTTTTAGAGCATAAAGTCAGATGGCATTATTTTCATTATTTGGGATGGTAGTTTGTTGTGTGAATTGGTCGCTCACTAATGAGAGATTTTCAAATATGTTATCATTGTAATTGATTGCATAAATAAAACCACATTCTATCTTACAATTTTCAAATATTTTTCTCTTTTCAAAATATGAAAAGTTGAAAAAATTTCCAAAAAAAGGAAAAGAAAAGGATGAATCGTTGAGTGATAAATAAAAAAATATTTATGACTCATGAATTCATAATTCAACGGTATCTTGGAATCCAGTCGAAGGATCTCAACGTTACAGAAAAGGTTTTGATGGTGAATAAATGATGCAGTTATATTGTGTCAATTTTTCGAATTTAAAGCTTTTGTTTTCAGGGAATTTTTCAGAGAAGTAGAATCGCTTTGAAAACACATTCAAAAAGCTTTCAAGAAAATTTTTGGCTATGCAAATTGTGCTCACATAGCCAAAAACTTTAATAAAATTTTTAATTAAAGATCGGCAAAAATTGAGGCGCATCGCCGTGAAGCAAGAAGCATTTTGCAGTAAGAGAAACTCAAGCAACTGATAAATCATACAAGAATTCAAGTAAAAAAACAAATTCGAAGTTTGTTAAAAGAAGTTTTGATAAATATACCGGAGTTCAAATGCTGCAAAAGTTGCTAAAATATTAACATTCACAGGGTAAAACTTGAGGGATTTTGTTGAAATAATAAGTAAAAGATGAAATAAAATGACCATGTCATATAGAGAAATCACATGCTTGATTTATATCAAACCGGAGAAAATCTTTTCATAGTTTCTTTAGAATTAAAACGCAGATATATGGGAGAACGAATAAACTATCCCATCATGTAAATGTACATTCAGACACTGGTGATTTATTCAGTAATTTTGGAATAATTACAGGTCATGAAACTGATCTGGGTTTCTTTCTAAAAAAAATTAAGTCTTTGGCATGTTTTTATTTCTTGATAAAAAGCAGAAAGACTCACCTAAAATGAAAAGCAGTATGGTGATGTGCAATCGGTTCGAAGACATATCTGTCGACGATCTGTCGGCGTCCGCAGGTCAAGGAGGTTTTGGGTGAGTTTTCTTCCTTCTTTTCACAATTCAATTCTTTTCCGGTTGTAGTTTCTGTGTCAAAGTCAGTTTGCTACCCTTTCAACGCCCTTTTTTATTTCCTTTAGTGTTATATGAATTGCACATACTACTGCTTTCTAATGTGGACGATGCTCGGTGAACAAATAAGGAAAGAAGGGGACAGGTTGATGAGCGAGTAATGAACTAGCCATTAAGTTCCGCATCAAAGTTATGGAATTTAAATTATGGAAAAGTCTAAATCTTGCACGTGCAATTCAAAATTTCTTTGAAAAAAAAAAAGTTATTTTAACCTAAGCTTTTTACATGCTGACGATTAGGTTGATCGTCAAGGTTTGGACATTTGAGGTAATGATCTTATTTAACCAATTATCAAGGGACAAAATATGAAAAGGATATACATTCCGTCAAACTTAGAATTTTTTGGTTTATACAAATTCATCCAAGTATAAGATTTACTTGTACTGAAAGCGGTACATATGCAAAATATTACATTTCCAGTTTCGAAGGAAATCAATTTCTGTGGGGCCTAATTTACTGAAGCTTTGAGGTGAAATTAAATCCCTTATGTTGACGTGTTTTGTGTTTTGTTTGATGCAATGGTGCGAGCTTTTTCGGCACAATGAGGTGGCGACAGTTCGGAATTTTTAACATGATTTCTGAATTCTCGGCTTCAGCATTTTCGGTTTCTGTGCAAAGAAATTATTCCCAGCCATAACAAGATAAAAGAAATTAACCGATAGGTCCAATTAATTAAAATCGGCATTTTCCTGGGATTTTTAATTGATGAGCAAAGTTGCGTTCTCTTCTCTTTAACTGATTCAAAATGGATAGTCTTCTAAAATAAATGAATGCCAGACAAAGATGGCTTTGTGTTTTGAGAAATGTCCGAATTGATGGCTCTACTCGTCTTTGTTATCCCTTCGCAACACATACAAAAAGAAATCCTCACAGTTATATAAGCCATCACTTTTTTATAATTTTTTAATTAATTAATCCCTCGGAACTGTTCCTTACACCCTAAGATCTCATTTGTTTCCATCTATATGATTGCATTTTACCGTTTGCGTTGCATTCATTCATTCATCTATTACTGTGTAGTTTTTATTTTTTCTTTTTAAAGATTCTTTCGAAACCAGTTTTACAAAAGGTGACTTAAATTCAACTTTACAGAGATTTATCGTTAATCAAGGTGTTAATAATTTTCCAACGTATCAAATTTTCCAATGGTGGATCCATTAAAAGTAGCTCAAAGATGGAGCAAGTAGAGGTTTTAAAATCAAAAGGTAGTGATGTATTAATTTGAAATAAAATTTAAAATGTTGCTAAAGATAAGAGTTGCGATCAATGCCATCAAATTTAAAAATAAACGAAAACTAGAAAAAATTTGAATATGGAACGAATTTCGTTTAGGAAAATGTTTCAGCAAAAGAGACAAAATATCCATCAGAATCGAAAATGCAAAGGACGACAACAACGGGAGTGGGGTAATTCGATTATGGAAAACAATCGAATTCTTTTTTGAGGCTGGCGTTTTAGTCCTTCTTTTGCTTTTCTTGAACTGATGGGTGACTTTCATCCCTAATGTGCGCAACTCTACCCAAAAGTGCAATGATATATGCAAATGATACTATCCTTTCTATACAAATGTTGCCATTTTGGAGCACTTCTTTATGTGACAAAGCTTTTTCTACAACAGAAATATTGGGCGTACCACTTACAGTGAACATCGAAAGACGCCACAACCACATCTGTAGCTCTGCAGCAGAAATTCTCCTAATTCAAATGTTTCATGTGCAAATTATATCAGCTTATCGGTTCGCGTATCGTTTTTATTATTTAATCATTTGTATGTTTCAATTTCACCAAGTACTGGACGAATTATATAACTCAAAACTGTTCAGTGTTATTAAGTTATTCAAGCACTGGAGGATTACAACAACTATTTTGTGTTGCGGATATCTTTTCCGCACTATCCAGTTTTCTTCACTGAATAATTACCAATTTTAATTGCTTTTTGAAATGAAAATACTAACCAAACTTTCACTAACATGTCGCAGTTTTGTTTGTTACTAGAAAGTGATTTTTAAATAAAAAAGTTTATTTATCAATAGAAAAACCTTAGGTTGGATGATTTTTTTTAACATTGCTTGTTGTCATCCAGAAAAAACTTAAGTTTCTTCGTTTTAGAAAGTAATTACACTTGATTTGTTTCCATCAGTTATGGTATCGGCCGGGTTCGCAAGTTTTCTAATTTCCTTATGTCTCTTAATTTCCATTTTCAGAATTGTCATAATTCAATTACTGGAAAATCCAAATGAAAAGATTTAACAACTCCCCCTGCCTTTTTGCCATTTGCAATATTCATCTAATAGTAGCAGTAAACTGTAACTGGACTCGGTGCTCTCATTTAGCAGACACTGCTGCAGTAGACTGTTCTGGACAGCGTTTTGACGTAAGTCTCTTTACGTTTTCTTCCTCGCAAAATAATATGTAGCATTACTCTGTAAACTTCAGAAAATGGGAAACAGTAAGATTTGAATCACAAAAGTTATTTGATACAAGTCACAGAATATTTCGTCTGGATTATTCCAGAAGATTGTACACACTGCATGGCTAAAAGCACCTACTTCCGAATTTTATCCAAGCACTATTGGAGGTCAAGTACACCTGCTCAATTTGAGTGGGAACGCTTTCACATCAATCAGTTCCAGTTCTTTCTCATCATTAAGGCATCCAGAAACCCTTGAAATACTGTAAGTTTCAAATTGTTGAATCTTGTTGATCAGAAAAACTCGATCCAGTTTATTTTTTAAAAATTTTTTTAGGGACATATCCCACAATGTACTCATGTTCATATCTCCTGGTGCCTTCAAAACTTTATCAAATCTTAAAATCCTGTAAGTATTTTCGTCAAAACGGTAATTATACAGTTTACTGAGTGGCCACTACTTCATGGGTGTTTTCAAATACTATCCAAATTTTTTTTTAAATATATAAACCACTGTCTTCAAGAAATACGCATATTAGCATATTATGTGTAAATCTTACAGTATGCTGAACAACTACAATAAAGGATAGCACAGTTTTAAGTGCCCATCAAGTTTCATTTTTGATTTTTTTGTACTGTAGTTATAATCTTGGACATTTTGTATTTGCGAGTAGGGCACTCGGAGGGATTACCACTGGTAAAACCGAAACCTGTAGAAGATCACCAATTCATCATTAACCTTAAACTGCCCTCGCATTTATTACAAGATGTTTATTGATGTCTTTCCTGTTTTGCGAGAAAGAATACAAATATTTGGGAAAAATGAAATCGAAAGACACCGTCCTTCATACAATTTAACTTTTTTTGTATTTTTCAGCTTATTAAACAATAATCAGTTGCACGCACTAGATCGTTTGTCATTTGTTGAATTGGAATCCCTAGAAGAGCTGAGTCTAGATTCAAATCCGTTATCTTCATTTCCGGATGGAACTTTTGCATCGCTTAGCAAACTCCGTAGAATAAGTATCATGTCGAATCAGCTATCATGTGATTGTCAAATAGCCGATTTACTTCGCTTTGTTAAGGTTAAGCAAAAGATTTCCTCTCTCATACAGTTTTTTTGAAATGTAATTTAAAAAAAACTGCTTATAACACTAAAATTTTTGGAAATGATTTTTTGAAATCCATCTGGATCACTAACGACAATAAATACTGGTTCGATTTCAGGATCAGCAAGTACAAGTTTCGAATCGGACGGTGTGCATATTTCCTCATTCATTGCGTGGAATGGAAGTTGCAAGGCTGAATGTGAAGACATTGAAAAGAAGTTGTGGGAAAGGTGGTGATTTCTGACCGAAGTTTTTTGGAATTAAAAATAAGCTGTGTCAATGAAATGAAAGGTTTTAGGTGATTTTAATCCGGCTGTGTTCGATTTGGAGCCTAGTTCACGATCATTGATCGTGTATCCGGGTGATGAGAAGAATATCACATGCAAAGTATCAAAATCTAATGACGTACAAATGGAATGGGTAAAAAACAATGTCCCACTGGCTCAATCTTCACGATTATTCACCACACATTACAATGACAGTGAATTTCTGTATGTAATTTATAGCAATGTATGTAATAGATAGTGCTTATTTCCAATTTTAGGAGCAAAATTGCTCTTGCCTGACATTATCCGGTTGTGTCCTTTGATTACTTTGTAAAAGCTTCAATTCTATTTCCACCACCACTTCAGAAGTAGTTCTCATACCCAATATTTAGCAATTCTCGACAGTTTGGAGTTCGCAATTATCCAAAGATTTTTTACATATAAATTTTAGAAAGGCTTAAATAGTATATAGAATAAGTAGTTGTAAAAAATATAGTAATAGTTCTAATAATAAGACTATTCTTGTGATCTGTTAAAGGAACAGTTTAAAAACCGAAACCTCACTTTTAACTAATACTGTTTAACTAATACTACTCTCTAATACTGTTTAATTAATACTGTTTTCAAAATATATCATTTCATTTAGACATTTAAATATTCCTGGAAGTGCAGAAAATCAAAGAAACGTTTGTACAAAATTTTTTGCTTTCTTCAAAGCGGATTTGTTCTAGAACTTTAGATACCTGAAACTCTGTTTGAATCCAGTGACTTGGGAAGACGAAGGTGATTGGACCTGCTATGTGGAACAAGATCGATCGGTGTTGAGGAACACAGTACGTATGACACCAGTTCTGGTGAACACGGTTCACTGTGTCCAGGTGTTTTTACAGTTTTGAGTAATTGGAAAGTACAGTTTTCATGAACTTTAGACTTTTAAACATTCCAGTTTTTAGGAATGGCAAGCGGATGAAAAAGGTGAAATAATTTGGGCATTTTCTAAGCAAGGATTAGTTACGGCGAAATGTCCTAACGGTCCGGCAAATTCCAAAGCATATCGACGATGTAAACACGGTAAATGGGAAACACCAGACACAAGTCAATGTGCCTACACTTCTCCGCTAATTAAATATTTTTTGACACTGTTACAAGATAAACGAACGTCTCAGGTATGCATAATTCTTGTTTAACTTGCAGTTTTAGAGTAATAATACCAACAAAATACTTCAGGAACATTGTTGCAAAGAAATAGGATTTGAATAAATAACCAAAAATGTATTCGTCGATGCTTTAAGAAATTCCTTATTTTAACTTTTCAAAAAGTCTTAATACCCTACAGAAGAACACAGAATTGCTATCCTTTTCAGTATGTGAACGAATTATTTCGAATAAAGAGGCGGCCATTCAAAATGTCTGCTTATGAAACTCGCCTTGTTGGTTGGCTCATAGGTAATGCAACAGGTTTATCCAGTCGACAGATGCTGGCTGCACTGAATTTTGTTTTACAGTCTGAATTTGCCCGCACTGAACTTAACGGTAATAGCTGCTGTTTTGCTCTATGATTAATTTGCAAAAGTTTAAGCTGATCAAGCTAAAGTCCTTTTTTTTGTATTTAAATATAGTGATCCGAAGAAAACGGTATCGGCAAACTAGCCACTTAGGTTTCAAACCAGGAATTTACGAAATGTTTGCAAGCTACTTTTTTTAAAATAGAAATGCAGCCTATTTTCATTGTTTCCAAATATTCCACTATTTTTAAAAAACATAGCACTTAAGAGTTACCGTTCCGACTCTTTCACGTTTGTCAACTTGTACCTTGTATTGTCAACTCATATTCTGTTCGTTTACATTCTTACTGTTACTGCTCGAAAAATCAGTGCAGGGAAATCATGCACTGAAACATAGCCCTGTAAAATTTCAAAACCATCAGACAATTCAAAGTATGGAATGGAAATAACATATGTAGTGTATTAATTACTAAGCTACAGTACACGATTCTCTAACCATGTTATCGGCTGAAAAAAAGAGAACCATTTACTGATGGGAGTAAAATTTTTGAATTTAGCTGTCTTTCTCCGTCGCGTTGTTACAAATTCGGTCCTCTTAAAATGATAAATTATTGGAGGCACTCAAAATTTTTGAGTGCCATGCCTTTCCTCTTCGAAAAGCATATATTATTATCATGCTGTGCATGTCAATTTTCAGTATGATTAAGGTAGTTAGGTCATTTCTTAGATACAAAAATTGCCAAGCTTCTCAACAAAAGTAACATTTTGGCGCAAATCACTACATCTGAGCTCGTTATCAGGAATACAATGAGGAAAACTTGAATCATAAGCAACAACCGTCTTAGCTTTCTTTTCCATCAGGTTTAGATATTTATTAGAAGTTTGATTTCACTATGACCTAAATCGACATTGGGATTCCAAAATTATAATTACTGGTGATAAGTTTAAAAAAACACCCGGTATCAGCATAATTCCATCGGGAATAAAATTCATAAAAGCCTTGCTTGCGAATAATGACCGGAATGAAGTGAGTTGTTGTAAAAGCAGAAAATTTAATTTAAATTAATATTTCACAAGTTCTATGTGATAATATACAAAAATTCTCATATATCTAATAAGACCCAATTTCAACAATGTGGTAACATTACTGAGGAAAAATCTTTCGATGGTCACTATAACATGTGCAAATGTTCATTTTTGAAAAGCAGTTTTGGCCAAGTTACTAGGTTTATAGCAAACCAGAGTAAAAAGTTTTTCTTGATATCTAAAGAACTGTGAGTTCGAAACTGGGTTTCAATGAAAATATATTTGAAAGTGCCTCTAAGATTTTACGAAAGTTTAGGTAAACTGATGCGCCAGTATCTGCAGCATCTACTCCTCGGTGATCAAATTATCCAAGAGGATAATTTAGCAATATGTCAACACTTGTTCGCTAAAGATTACGATGGTACATCAGCTGAAATTATGAAGGGCGGTTTCTTAGCCCTACATGATGGTGCGAAATTTTCATGTCGCGAACAGCAATTCGTTGAGCTGGTACCAGAAACAGGTTAAGATTATCGTTTCACTCAAATTCGACTCAGGTTTGGATTTGGGTTTGGATTTGAATTAGAATTTAAAGTACTAATTTATAGGTGGAGCATCACTTCGCATTCCTCGTCACACAATTGATCAATTTCCATCACTCACCATTGTTCGAGTATTATGGTTATCCAATTCGAAGATTTTTAAAAGTAGACATACCTCAGATGGGAGATGGACCGTTATGAGTGAAGTTTATGGTGTTGCGATCAAACATATTCCTCTCAGGTCATCAAAATCAGACAGCATTCCTGAGGAGGTTATGCAGTTTACATCAAAAAAAATCCATTCCATAGAGATTTATTGTGATTCGTCGTTCAAACTTCAGTGTTTTATAAATTTTATAATATACTTTGTAGTTGTGTGAGTTTTGTTATTTCTGTTTTCAGATGACAGGGATCGGAAAAAATGCTGATTTTTATGGATTTCTAATCAGTTATCAGATAAATAAGACAGTAGATCAGGTATGTTCTACCCTTCCAATAAAATGTTAAAAATATTCATAGAATACTATGGAAATATTAAAAGATATGAGTGGTGAAATATCATCTTTGAGATGAGGGTTTATCTAAGGAATTTATTACAGAAATGAGAACACTGTTAATGTTCAAACTTGACAAAAACTTTTGACACATAACATTCCATGAAATGCACATCGATGAAGAAAATGTTATCACCAGTAATACAAATAACGACGAGACTGACACCATCTTCTGAGTGATAGACCGATTTAGTAATGGTAGGGTACGCAAAATAAGTGTGAAATGCCTTTCCCGGTATTTCTTGAATGCTGTTTTGGTCTATATTTGGGAGTTGTCATGGAAAATGAAATGAGGAGGGTCATAGTTGTAACTATCTACAGAATGAATTATTCATGCATGTCTGGTTATAAGAAGAACGAACTATAACTTCTCGGATTTTTGATCGTCATAACTGCAATATCTCAATATTCGATTGCATACTACGTTTCAGATTCAACTTGGTGTATGGGATGATGACGAGGGATGGAAACTAACCAAAGAGACAAATTGTTTATTGCGGAGAGTGGGACCAAACAATATTCTTTTTACTTGCTCTCGAATGTTTTTTACCAAGAATGTAGACGAAGACATCAAATATTTTGCAGCCATGCAGAATACGTCTTATGAAGAATTGTAAGGTTCATCGATGTTTGTTGTAGTAAGCTTCTTTCCAATAAATCTGCTTTAATCATCGAGCTTAGGATCCATTCTTAAGCCAATAAACAAATGATGGTGATAACACTAGAAGAGTATGTGCATGTTTGTATCTAGTATTAGATCGAGAAATAACCCAGTCACTTTGAGGTGCACTTGACGTAGGAAAGCACGCAGATATGTGCAAATTTTAGAAATGTAACTTAAGTGCTTCTAGTTATATGGCAACAATTTTTGATGAACCAGTGCGACACATTTTCTTGAAAAATATTACAGTCTTTGAAAAGGAATAATTTATTGTTTGCTTAGTATTTTCATTTTCAAAGATTTGGAAGAGAACTGAAGTACTGTTATAATGATATAGATTCTGAAATAACTGCATTTGTATTATTAAATTATCATTCAAAATTAAAAATGCGAAAGTCAACTTATTTTTAGGATCACCTCAGCGAGAAAGTCAGTAAAATTAACGTGGTATATATGTGCATCATCCGGTTTCCTGGCTTCAGTAATGTTTTTAACGGTCACTATCAATCTATACTTATTCCGGTGTCTATTTTTACTAATGTTGTTTGCTTTTATTGCTTTCTTAATAGTGATTATTCTTGTTCTAAAGATTAAACTTAAATTTAATTTCTAGTCCTGAGACTATTTTCAAATAAAGTTCAGCGTATCCAGCTATCGTTCACAAAGGAGTCAGCAAGTGATTGTTAATATGTGCGCTTGTATATTTGTACTGTGCGCTTTCTATTCGTTTGCCCACAACGGAATTTTTGATCCAGAGGCATGTCGAGCAGTTACCGTCGCTCAACATTTTTTCTTTCTTGCTATTTACTTCTGGATTATGCAAGCTTTTAGGTATGCAATAATTACCAATTGAACAAAAGTTTTTGATAATGAGTCTTAGACATATTTCGATTGTAGCTATCGAATAATTAAAGATTGAATGAAATTTAAATTTTAGATTGTTGCAAGGGGAATTTAGCAAGATTGTACGAGATTATAGTCAAGGCAAAGATGGTGAGAAAGTACACGCAGAAGTTGAAGAGGTGAAGATATTTAGGATGTTTTCTTTGCAGAATTAATTAATGGAGATAATGATTTTTAGTATTTTTGGAATTAAGACGCCCAATTCATAGAAAAGTGATTGTTGTAGGTGCCACTATATGGAACAATTATGGAGATGTACTTCATCGCTTATGGTATCCCGCTGATTGCCACGTCAACTGTGTTAGCTACTGATACTTTATCACACGAAAGTTCACTAAAATTGTGAGGTTCAATCAAAGTATTACGAAAAATTAATTTTTGAAATTTCCACTTTTTTGATTCATCAGATTGAATTTCGAAAATGATTGGGGATTAGGGATTTTATTAAGCTCGGCTTAATTTTTCATTAAAAATTAACTAAAATTTAAGTCTAAAACCATGAAATTTATTTCAAATTTACAGCTGCTTTCCTTCGTCAATGATGCATATTAAAATATTTGCGTACGCCGTTTATGCACCCCTGCTTACTTGTACCGTCCTTACATTGGGAATGATTGTCATCATCTTACGTCTGCTTATCACAATTAGGCATTTATCTGTTAAACCTATATCTCAACGTTAGTTTTCCAACGATACAGTTCAATTACTAACAAAGTTTATAAACTCCTTATACTTGAACTGTGATATCCTTTATAGCACATGTAGCATTTATGTACAGTGCTCTTGCAAGTTAAACTTTCTTTCAAATATTAATTATTGCTGCAAATCATAAAAACATAATTTACTTTTCCTAGTGCTGAAAGCAAATTTTTTTTTTTTACTTTTCAATCTTCATGATTTTGTTCATTTATTATTCGATCGATTAGAAGAACTATCAGAACCATCCTTCACCAGTGTTGTCCTTTTGCTGCTGGACCACAACAGCACGTTAGAAACGATCGTCACTAGGCTTTCTTAAAAAGGAATCGTGTCATCCTTTCGTAACAACCAATCGTTGGTTCAGATCCCTTTGGGAGTTCGTCTGATGTGTTGATAAAGAAAAGAAGAAAAGTGTCATCATTTACAGAATAAGCTGCAAAAGATGAGAGAACTGGTGATGCTATTTCTGTGTTATGTTTTTAAAATTAAACAGCCTTAAAGAATCATTTCAGAATATGTAGACAACAAAAGTCCTGAAGAAAACACCACACAAGCTCGGGATGAGATTACATCTGCTGAATTCAGCAAGAGGGCAAACGCAGCAAAAACCCAATTTTTGTAAGGATATTTGCTTTTAGATTATCCAGGATGGCGTAATGTAAGGATTTTAAAACGTTAAAGTATGCATTCTCCGTTTCCTACTTGTCGCTTCATCTCAAAGAATTGAGTTTAAATTCTGATTGTTAAAATTGATTTAGTTATAAAATTATTTCTGGAGGAAAAATCTTGGTCAAATATTTTCCTATATATTAAATTGGAACTTGGTAATCCCTTTGAAATCCAGAAAATAATGAATGTGTTAACAGCAGCAGTGTATTTCAGATGGTTACTACTAATAGCAGTACTGTATTCACTAGACTGCTATGTGGCAGCCACTCATATTAATCAATTAAATGACTCGGGGCTTTCGGTAACATCCAACTCTTACTTCAATGCACTATTCAACATCTTACTCGCTCTTGCCATTTTTTATCCATTCATGCTTGAATCGATATGTATGATAGTGCTTAAAGTGAGTTGTTATCTCATAATGGCTATATGGTATTTATAGTTAATTTGCTGAGATCTAGTAACCGAGTGGGTGGGAGGCAAAAGTCACGAACATAAATCCATGATTATAAATGAGTTTTATGATAATAATATTGAATAACTTGCAAATCAGATTTAAAGCTCCAAGCATCTTTTAGAGTCGTGATTCAAGCTGTTCCGCATGCGTTACAAAGCCGTTCGTTAGTGCGCCGTACAACAACGAAGAACGTATTGTGCCGCTGGTACAAAGAGGGTCGATCGCCGGATGTTTTGTTGAAGGAGGAGAGTGGGTGTGAACAAATTTCTCCCGAAAATATCAGTGATTTCTAATCCAGTTTCAAATTTGCTTGTTGTGGCGCTCCTTCATGTGTTGTTGATATTATTATAACATATTTCAGAAAAAAACAAAAAACAGAGGAAAACGATACGTCTCTCCTAAAAAAACGTCTCTCCTACTGATGCACGTTGCAGATGCACGTTATCATAGCTCAGTAGTTTCAAGTTTTGAACATATTTTGATAAGGGTAAATAAATGTATATTAAAATGGCAGTTTATAGTGATTAGTTTTTCAGCCGTGAGCCATCATTATGACAGTATTCAAGCTCGTCCGAATCATCCCAAACAACTTGAATAACAAGCTAGGAGATACTCCATACATAAAAAATTCACATTTATAAACTTCTCTTATATCAAAATGAAATGAATGATGAGTTAATATGACTGGATTCTGGAGATAGTAACTGGATTCTAGATAATGTGGATAATATTGGCTTCTGGAGATCCTAGCAGAGACAGATTTTATTTTTCTCTTTATTTGTCGCAGAGATCATCTATCGTGGAGGTTGCACACTTGTAATAATATTATTTCGATCTGTCAGGGATTTCTGGAATATTCAGCAATTCTAAGAATTTGTTAAAGTTAATCGACTATATATTGGGAAATACTTTGTTAATAAAAAGATTGAAAGCAGGAGCATATCAGATTAGTTTTTGAGATGTGCCATTGTGAAAGTTGCGAAGGTACCTACCTATAAACTTGTTTACTGTTGTTAATTTTGAGATTAGCCATGAATTTTCTCTATGAGTCTCAAGTGAATGGAAAACTTCCCGTTTTCGTGCCCTTTCAAAATTTGTTAGAACTTATCTATTTAAAGTAAACAACTTGCAAGCACAGTTCTTATTTGCAATATAAAGAATATAAGTACACTAAGGTACACACTGAAGCGCATTTTTTAATGTTGGTTCAATTGTGGCCTGGGAATTTTCAAACAAAAGACATCCAAAATGAATTCAGATTGTCAGACATTTAATCCTTTTATTTGCCGATAATTTCAACAATTCGACTGACTGTTTGCTAACTAAATTGCCGAAGATGAGCTTGGAGTCAACTTGAGTTTAACCGGTAAGCAGACTGACATTTTCGTTTGATTTGAGTTCTTTTTTTGACATCCATACTGAGCTTGAAGAATAGTTAGTGATGCTTTGCTGGGAAGAGAGTTACTCCCTCTAACTTCGGTTATAACCTGAAGTTTTAGAGAAAACTCTTTGGACCACTTCTTAAACTAGTTTTTATCATTAACAAAGATGATGATAAAGTTCGAGGTGCCACTCATTTCACATTTCAGCAGTTGAGGCACGTTGCAGTGCACTATGAAAATTCGTGCTAGCGTGAGTGAAAGAATTTGATACGATTGAAAGATAAAAGTGTATGGACAAGCACTTACAAACGAAATAATTTCAAGTTGGAATTTCCTTCTGCAGTCATGTGAATAACAGTAACCATACAGACGTCATCAAGGAAGGGTAGCTGACGACGGAGTGCTAATGTAGTGGAAAATTGAAATATTGCAGTGGGAGAGAAAATTCTCGACAAAACCCCTTAAGCCTTTTCTCCTCTCTAACAAGAGCTTGGTTTCAACCTGTTTTTAATAGCCTTTTTCTGAAAGCCAGTTTCGTGGAAGTACATGATAAGTACATAGACACACACATCCACAGAGATACATTAATTATAGCAGCTCAGTTTCATTTGCCTCCTTTTTTCTGCGCCTCTTTGTCACCTCATTGCTCATCCAACAGGGAACGATGCAAACTCGGATGAGCGTGAAATATGGGAATGATGAGAGGAAAAATTTAGTCAACTAATTTCATGGATCTCGAGCGATCTAGATGGAGTACATGAATCTCTGACATTATAACTTCAACAGTAGAATACGCCGATTACTTATAGCTACTGTAAGTTTTCAGGAGATAGTTAAAGGATATGATGATACTGATAGGATGATAATATGATCATGTCCTATTCGTCATACTCCTTTTATGATGAAATGATAATGTTCATGCTTTGCTAAAGTAACCTTGGCTAATCTCAAAGGTAATCATCCATAGGAGGAAAAAATCATTTCTTGTTTCTTTAACACTTAACTGTTAAAAATGATACATCGACAACCGCGCAAATGACAGCTTATCCTTATCTTATTTCTTTTGTAAGGATTGAATGAAATTCTTCGATTAATTTCAAGAAGCCTCGCACTGTTTGAACCGGTTTTCTCTTTCTTTTTTTGACTCAAAAAACAGCAACCCGTGTGAGGCGCAATTGATGGGTTCGAACTGGCTTCCTCACCATAAAATAAAGCGATTTTGCAACATCGTTTGTTTCACTGTTAAGTTTTAAATGCGAAGTCTTATTTTCATAAACATTAGTCGTCTAAATTTTGGGCAGTCCAACATTACCAACAGTTTTTTTTTCCATTGAAATTCGCGGCTTTCGATGGAGAGTTCCAAAACTAATCAGGGATAACCGCAAGATGGATGAGAAATATCGCTGTAGCAAAAAAGAGTGAGTCATCAGAATTGCAAAAGCGTAACATGGAAATGAATACCCTGACTTTTAGAACTGAGAAGATAATTCCCAAATAATATAAAAAATTGCACGGTCTTATGCAACTTTGTCATTTGAATAACTCTAAAACAATATACTATTAATCAACTTTATTAAGCGCTTACATTTGTGCGTTTTGGACCTGATGATCTGTCCAATTAACTCAACGCATGCTTCTTTTCCGATCCAGTCTGACCCGTTAATCCCGCATCATCAATTCATCATGATAAACTCGTTGTTGGCATCATTTAGGTGGTACGGATTGCTCTTCCTATCGATAGACGAGTGATAGATTTTTTCCTGGCTGTCGTTCTCTGAGCCACAATGCGCTGTTTTTATGCGAGAAAGAATAGCACTCTCGGCATTCTTTAGACAATTGAAAGAAATTCGATTCTTTTGCTCCCTTGTTCGACAATAATGCACCTCTTTTTACTCGATACTATTCTTTGCTCCCTTGCTGAACGGTTCCCGTGTTACTGATCAGCGCCATCGCTCTTACTATCTCCTATCGGGAATCATCCATCTCTTCACTTTTTTCAGTAAAGGACGTCTCTGTAAAAACACACACATACACATATATATACACACATATATACATATATACACATATATATATGTATATGTATATATATGCACACATACACATATGACATTCATCTTCCTCTTGGACTTGATTCCTTGCATATTCTCTCCCCTCTCATGGGAAGGGAGGGAGGAATATGTAAAGAGTCGAGAGAATCGTTAGGAAATTCATTCCCCAATCCGGTCAGTCCACTCATTCGCTTCTTTTCTTTCGTTCGCCGAGAAAGTGCATATTTTTTGCAACGAATTTTCCTTTGCAGCGACGAACTATTGGATGAATAAGCGGACGGTTGCAAAGGAACGTTATAAACAGCCTTAAGTTGGGTTTTGTATGGATTAAGGAATTTATGTGTGCCTTTATGCCACGTATAAAATGTGCCTTTATGGCACACTCACATGCACACGCGCGCACACACATACACACATACACATACACACATCCAGACATCAGGTAGAAGCAGTCATTGGTTATGCGCAAGTTGGAAGTAGTATAATTATTTAAACCATCGAATAAGCACTAAAAAAAGTATGACTTGAAATATACTTAGGAAGGTGTTTTGAGTCTTATCGATATAAGACTATTTCGAGAAGTACCGCACTTTATGAATGTGTAAGCAACTTAGAGGTCAATTGTGGTATCCCGACTTGCAACGTTTTGTAAAGTCTACGTTATAACGGAGATCCGAGGACGGGTTGTTGAGAAAGCATGCGTTATCGTGCTATGTTTGTGCATATTTTGCAGACAAACACTGCTGGAGATGGTAAGTCAAGTGGGACACTCGGAATGCTGAACACTTAGGAGATAAACAATGGGAACTGAGGGCTTATGTCTACATCAACTGAAGCGAAACTTTTGGGAGTGTAACACCCAATGCATATCAACCTATAAACATTTCCTCCTTCAGTGAACGAAACCACCCACAAGCCTACAGCTGCAGCTCCCCCGCCCTTCCGCTCCTTCCTTTAGAACTATAATAACAACACCGCGAACTTCAAGCTCTCTTAAAAGCTTAAAATGGACTGTGGTTCCCTGAATCAATGGTCTTTAAGGACTTTCAAATGGAATCAAATGGAACAATACAGTTTTGGCACAGCAAAATGATAGAGGCTGCTCGAATGACATCGATTGCAAAAAGGCTCATAGAAAAGTTTAATGCAAAGCAAGGGCTCATTTCTTTATGTTTTGAATTGGAACAAAATCCTCGTGATTCCAACCATTAAACCTCACTTCCACTTAAATTCAGGATTGACAACATATCATGGTCGGAAGCACCGTTGCTGAAGACCCAGTGTTCAGTGCTCTTTTTTCCAGGTCGAATCATAATTGTAATTCAGTAAGCTGAGAGTTTCCTGTACGGCATAAGTAGATTACATAATAATACCTCCACACGCAAGACTGCTACAAAATTGGGTGCACTGTCCCCAGAAAAAAAGGAAGGAGACAGTTGAACATGCTGAAATGTTCGTAGACGCCTCTCTTGGCATCCGTTTGTGTTTGTCAGTCTTAGTGATCGTTGTTTAGCCGTTCTCGTCCCCAAACCGACAGAATCTCGCTCCACCATTTTTCCATTGAAGGGGACAAATCAACTCATTGCACATTCCTGTGTGTTTTCCTCGCAGAGTTATCACCAAAAAGACAAAAAACTGCCGTAGTTCTTTTTTGAGGGCAACAAATTGCGAGGCAAATATTATTCACTAATTACATCCTCTTGCTACCACTCATCTACAGAAAGAATCACTATTGTATTACACACCAAATTACGTACAACAATAAACACCATGCCAATATCTCATAGCCCTCACAGTCATCTCAGAAACTCATCCTTTTTTTTCACGGATCTTCGAGCTACTCTATGTCACCTAAAACATCGCAAAGACACCATCAAAACAGCGTAAATACCGCAACATACACCTTTTCAATTATTCTAAAATTTTTTTTCCTTATTTTGTCCACGACCAGTTCCCATGAACTTAATTTGCTGTATGAATAGTGCGGGAATTTCATCATCGATGCGTTTATTTGATTAGTGAGTTCCAATACAAATGGCTCCAATGAAAAGTTGAGAAATAAGGAAAATCTAAACCCTCTTTCCAATGATTAACACACAAAATGCCCGATAAAAGCTGCAAGCTAAAGAATAACAAACGTAATCAGAATACTAGTAGCAAGGTTTTCCAACTAACAACGCAGAAAACAGTGGTACTCAATGTCCCTCAAGATACCAGTAAGATTTAAGCCCGTTCCAGATACAGCGATTACCAACTCAGCAGATTCTTTCACTGAAGTTGCAGCTAAATCGTATACAACTGAAACAGTATTGAATTCTGAAAGAAACGAAGATTCTACAAATATAAATAAACACTCAGATGTAAATGAAATGAATTAATGAAGCAAGAAACTTCACAAAGAGTCCCAAAAACGACGAAGAACCGAATATTTCACCATTTTGAAAATTAGAGGAAAATGCTTGGGCATTTTTATCAAGTACACCGGAAAAAACCGCCGCAACACAGAATGCAAAATTAGAACAAAAACCAAACTGTAAGAAAAGATAAGCTGCCAAGCCTAAAATGAAATACTTTGGTTAGATTTAATGAAAGTTTTATTAGTTGTATAAGGATGCCCACCAATACCTCATCAAAAAAAGTCCTAAATTTTCTAAATTTCCAAACTACTCCACAAAGTTCGATGAAAGTTAAAACTAGAAAAAAAAAGAACTAAATCAAGTTTACAAAAAGCACCGTATCACAAATCGAAAGACTCAGTATTTGAATGACCCAAGATAAAACAACAAAACAGTGAAGTCAGTAATTTCCTTCAAAAACACGGTGCATAATGTTCAAGAGATGATCTGCTTACTTCCCAGGGAAATATTTTGCAACTGATAACAGAAAGCATGATTAACATTATGCGTCATATCAACTTCTAAGGCACAGAGAGACCACATTACTTCGCATGACATCATACGAAATCAACATTGAATTTGAAAGCACATTCGAAAAAATATTGAATTAATTAAAGTGAGCATGTCGACAAGACATGAGCCGTAGAAGAGATCCTGTTTGGGCTTGGCAGTAAACTGACCAGATCACTTAGTATTCAGTAGCGAAGTGCTGTAAATCAACAAGAGTCGTTAAAAAATAGTCCATCAACTACCGGATCAATATTCATTGAAAGGTCACGACATAACTGCATCATGCCACACAATGCCGCACCCATTTTCTGAAAGCTATTCCTTTAAAAAACTTTTTAAGTTTGACATATATTTCCAAACTTGTTTTGGTCTGAGCAATGGTAAAACTTCAAATTCTTAAAACTACAAATCAATAATTACGATAAAAATGAAATCTTATGGGAAAATACTCACGGAAAGACCAGCAATCAAAAGCAAAAGGTTGCCAAAGCGAGAGGTCGCCTCAGCTGGTGAAAGACGACTACTGAGATGAGCATAAAGTGCATTCTGGACAGAACCACGAGCTACAGCCAATAAGGATGCAGAATGAGGCGTAAGATTTGCAGCACTCGGATCCAGTGCAATTATCGCTTTCAGTGCAACCATTTCAATTTCGGTAAATCCCAAACGTCGCATTGGACTCAAAACAACATCCAGAATGTTTTTCTTTACAATCCTACAACATTTCATTATTTTGGACTTCACAAAACATCAGAATTCAAAATCAAGTACAAAATTGAATACATCTGGACATCACACATATCTCTGAGCTTTACTTCCTCATTTTTGAGATACTGTTACATCTACTAAAAGGAGATAAATTAATGGGTTTTCGGATCCAAGTAGCGGCTGTGGAATACAGTAAAAACGAACTCAATTCGGGATTCCAACAATATGATTTGTTTGTCTTCACACTGTTCAATGATAATAACAGGTTTTTCACGATGGAAATAATGCCCACTAGGTAGTAAAATTGTACTGCTGACCATCTCAGTATTACGCACAGTGTGGTATGCAACAACAAGAAGCGCAAATTGTGACACACAGTTATGAATTATCGATATCTGCAAAGGTCGAATTACGAAATGTTTCTCCAAATCTGAGTAATACAAGATCAAAAGTTAACTTTTAAAAAACTACTGAAATACTCTGGAAGAGTAATAAAAAGTGACTCCGATTAATGGTATGTTATTAAACACCGAATTAAACTTCCCGGTAACAAGTATTTCATTCTTATCCTTTAACGCAGAATGATCTTCCCGCTCTCCTCTAATAATGTGTCAAACTTCATTCTATGTGCTGCTTTTTGAAAATTTATGAAGAGGAAAAACCTTTTCACTAGGTGTGAGATCGGCGATTGGCTTAAGTGTATTGGCATAATCAAAAAGCAATACAATGAGACGCCTCAGATTTTCAAAATATTCTTTGCAGCCAGCAAGACCCAAAGACCCATCGAATATCAGCTAAAAAAAAACCTACAATCTTTTACGGCGGAATAAATTTCTGACGATGAGGAAAAGTGAATTCATAATAACCAAAGAATGCCTTTTGAGATAATGTATTTTAAAAAAAGAATAGAATCACGGCCAGTAACTAGTTCATTATACGAAAATATCCTGAAAAAATCGAGTGAATGTATTACACGGAAAGGAACAAGTAATTATCCTACAAAAATACAAACGATAAAACTTAGGAGAATATAATTCGTAATTCCATATCTAGATTTAAGAGAAAACGAAAAATAAGAAAAAAATACAAGAGAAAGGAAAAGAAACAAAAGTATTCCAAAATTACTTACCGGAGATCGTGAAACGATGAGTGAAGGACGCAAAACAGCATCAATGAGGGTGATGGAAGTCTTTGTTATAACTGGATGAGCGTCACGAAGCTGATTGCATATATGCTCGATTTCACAAAGTGTTGCCAAGACAGACTCATCGCCAACGGGTACAGAACATTTTGGATGACCTGAGGCGCTATTCATGCAAAAGGATACGGTGCAAGTTCGAGCATCATCACTCACAACGTTGTCTTTTTCGGATGTAACGCATGGCAATTCCCCGCATATAGAATTTGCTGACATCTTGGTGGTACCGTTTTCACAGCCACCTCTGCGTGGATTTTTCTGTCTGCCAGTTTTATCACGATCGGGACGAATTGCTGAAATTTTGTCCACCGTCTTTTACACAAAGCGAAACATCTAACCTGTGCAAATGTATGATTTATAATAAAATGACTGCTTTTACTTAAATTTATACAAAGAAAAAACGATTTCAGTTACATTCAAACTGGTAAGGGTTGTATATAGATACTGAGACAGACAGATAAAGAGGGGGGGATAATAGATAAATAGTAACACATCGATGTGCATATGCTATTTTTAAAAATGTGTGGTCTTAATGAAAGTGTGAACCGTTAGAAAAGACGGATATGGGGAGCCCACATAAGAAAACAAAAACGAAGTGAAAAAAGATTAACAAAAGTAGTTCATGAAGTTCTCGAAAAGATGTAAAGTGAAAGAGATACAGATAGCAGGAGCACAGCTCCCACGTAATCAACGCAATGGACTTTCTGGTCAAAGGTTAGACCATAAACTTCATTGTGAACAATGAAGTGCATTTTTCTGTCTTCGCGATAAAGAATTAAGAGAAAGATCCAAAGTCAAACGATGTCACTCACCGTCAGGTTCCATTCCTACCTGAAGGCACTTCTGGAAACGGCAAGATCGACAAACGTTACGACCAGCTGGAATTGTATTTCTGTTTAACAGCAGAAACCTGCTAGTTAGACTTCCGACTCATGAACTTAACAGACTTAGTCCCTTTATTCTTCAAGAAGTACAACAAAATACAGAAAACTGGCAGGAGGAATCCAAAATAACTATAAGATGGGCAATAACTACAAACGAACAGTCACAAAACTCTCAAACACCCCACAAATTTAAAATGAATCCGTCTTTTTTTTCGAGGCATCAGACGACGACATGATAAAAAAAAGCTCAGTGAAAGTGACCTCAGTTCATCAGAACTTCCTCCTTTCCAGAGCAAGGTCGGCAAAACGTGAAGTCAACGACTAATAACGATGTCCACATTTCGCAGTTCTGTCTCATAACATACAAAATGAATGAGTAAGTGGTAGACGAGGCCCATTCAGCCCGTTACTCAAGTATTCCATCCTAATCCTCCCTCCCGACTTTTAAATCAAGAGAAAATCTTGTGAATTGTAGACAAATTACAGTTCGATACTAAATTAGCTACTCACCTTTATCAATTCTACACTTCTGTTCATAACGACACACGTAATTTTTCCCAGCACGAACCTACAAGGCATTACTGATATTAATGATTATAAACCATATCTTTTAAATAAGCAGGAAGTACTCAAGTAAAGACGGTAAGTGTTACAGGGTGAGTTAGCTGGTGAATTTATCCTCATTCAGTTTCATAACTGAAAAAAAAAA